TGGTATTTTCTGTAGGATTTCCGTGGAGGAATATGTTAAGGCCATCAAGGAGGAAATTAACAAAGTTGTCAAGCTCCAGGAAGAGCTCGATATTGATGTCCTGGTTCATGGAGAGCCAGAGGTAAGCCAATTAATGGGCCTATCCTATGACTACTGAGTGTTTGAAATAGTTCCTTTATCCTCTAGATCTAGCAGACAACATGCACTTGAAGGATTCTAACGCCCTTATCAAATCTTCATTTCTTGTATTTCAGAGGAATGACATGGTTGAGTACTTCGGAGAACAGCTGTCTGGTTTTGCCTTCACTGCTAATGGATGGGTGCAATCTTATGGATCTCGCTGTGTGAAGCCACCCATCATCTATGGTGATGTGAGCCGACCCAAGCCAATGACTGTCTTTTGGTCCTCTATGGCTCAGAAAATGACCAAGCGCCCAATGAAGGGAATGCTTACTGGCCCTGTCACCATTCTCAACTGGTCCTTTGTTCNATAATTTTGATGTATGATTTTCCGTTGTATTTTTGTGCCTTTTATAATGATACAGACATTGCATATCTGACTGTTATGGTTTTATTTCAGGGTTTCTTCTCTGCTAATGCTGCAGCTCAGGCTTCAAGGAAGTCCTCTCCTAGGGTGACCAATGAAGCTGTTCAGAAGGCTGTAAGTGTTTGGACTCCTCTTCTTTTAACCACTTTCAGGTGGCTTTACTGAATGAATCATTCCGTGCTTAGCAACGGCTAAATTGTTTTTGGTTTTCCAGGCTGCCGCTTTGAAGGGATCGGACCACCGCCGTGCTACAAATGTTAGCGCCAGACTAGATGCTCAACAGAAGAAGCTTAACCTTCCAATCCTCCCTACCACCACCATTGGATCTTTCCCCCAAACAATGGAACTCAGAAAAGTTCGCCGTGAATACAAGGCTAAGAAGTGGGTGTTTTCTTCACTTCTTGCTTTTCGTCATAGAAGACTTGTCTTCAAATCTTTGTTCTAAGGATGTGGTATTTTCTGTAGGATTTCCGAGGAGGAATATGTTAAGGCCATCAAGGAGGAAATTAACAAAGTTGTCAAGCTCCAGGAAGAGCTCGATATTGATGTCCTGGTTCATGGAGAGCCAGAGGTAAGTCAATTAATGGGCCTATCCTATGACTACTGAGTGTTTGAAATAGTTCCTTTATCCTCTAGATCTAGCAGACAACATGCACTTGAAGGATTCTAACGCCCTTATCAAATCTTCATTTCTTGTATTTCAGAGGAATGACATGGTTGAGTACTTCGGAGAACAGCTGTCTGGTTTTGCCTTCACTGCTAATGGATGGGTGCAATCTTATGGATCTCGCTGTGTGAAGCCACCCATCATCTATGGTGATGTGAGCCGACCCAAGCCAATGACTGTCTTTTGGTCCTCTATGGCTCAGAAAATGACCAAGCGCCCAATGAAGGGAATGCTTACTGGCCCTGTCACCATTCTCAACTGGTCCTTTGTTCGAAATGACCAGCCAAGGTAATTAAAATATAGATTTTTCTTTTTCTTTTTTAAAAAAAGGAAGCTGTCACTGGAGATCATTAGTTTTACCCTTTTTTTATTAATAATACCAATAACAACAAATTTTTGACATGATGTTATCCCTGTTACCAGATTTGAAACTTGCTACCAGATTGCTTTGGCCATCAAGGACGAAGTAGAGGATCTTGAGAAAGGTGGCATCAATGTCATCCAAATCGATGAGGCAGCTTTGAGAGAGGGCTTGCCTCTCAGAAAGGCTGAGCATGCTTTCTACTTGAACTGGGCTGTCCACTCCTTCAGAATCACCAACGTCGGCGTTCAAGACACTACCCAGGTGCTGCCCTCTTCCCCGAAGTCTGCTCTAATTTACATGCTTTACTATACTTATTTGCTTTTTACATCCTCTTGTTATTGTTGTATTCCTGTGCAATATGCTTATCTATTAGTATCTCACAGATCCACACCCACATGTGCTACTCCAACTTCAACGACATTATCCATTCCATCATTGACATGGATGCCGATGTAATCACCATTGAGAACTCCCGATCTGATGAGAAACTTCTGTCAGTCTTCCGTGAGGGAGTGAAGTATGGTGCTGGTATTGGCCCTGGTGTGTATGATATTCACTCTCCTAGAATACCATCAACAGAGGAGATTGCTGACAGAATTAACAAGATGCTTGCTGTGCTTGAAACCAACATCTTGTGGGTCAACCCCGACTGTGGCCTTAAGACTCGCAAATATGCTGAAGTTAAACCAGCTCTCCAAAACATGGTTGCTGCTGCCAAGCTCCTCCGCACCCAGCTTGCCAGTGCCAAGTGAGGCGTTTAAGGGAGCTTCGAGGTTCAAATTTCTTCAAAATTATTGTTTCTTATCAAAGAGTGAAAAGAAAAAAGGGAGGAGGAAAATGCTATGTTATTGATTCAATAATTGTGGGTTCGTGAGGAGAATTTGTGTAGGATAGTCTGCCCTGTGGGCATTTTGTTTTCCCATTGTTTTCTTGTTTTCTGGGCTTTGGTTTTTAAATTTATTCTGTATTCTTGAGGGGGGTTATGCCTTCAATTTATTTGAAAGGCACAAAACTGACAAGTGTACCTCAATTGCTGGGAATTTAAGAAAAATACAATCACTAGTTTGTTCATTAATCTTTGTAGGGAGTTCTCTCTTTTGTTATGCCTTCACACGAAACAAGGGCTGCTAATGTGGTGTTTTTTTTAATGTTTTATTGTTTGGATTAATTTATGCATATCTTGATTAATTTTCTCTTTGCTCTGATTAAAAACCAACCATCAAGGCCTAACCTTTTTTTCAAGAGCCTCTTACTCTAATCAGGAGGACAGGGAATCAATTTTTGCAAAGACAAAATAATTGTTATAGTCCATAGTTGAGGTATTGAATGTCTATTTTTTCGTTACACGGCTCATGGGTAAAATTAAGTGTACGAATCAGTTCTTTAACTCATACACTATTTAAATTAGGACTTGCGTTTCGTCTTCGTCGGAGATTCAAGACCCACATCAGAGATTTGAATATGCTTCGTCCAATTAACTAAGGTCTTATCATATATACTATTTAAATCAGAACTTGTGTTTCGTCGAAAATTCAAGACTAACACCAGAGACTTGAATACGGTTCGTTCAAACAATTGAGGTTTTGTCCTACCAAATAGTCACGCTTCGTGCCCAGGGGACTTTGAACTCTTCACCTCCCACTGGAAAAGCCAAAGGCTGTGGCCAATTGAGCTACTCCAATTGGTTTGGTTTGAGTCTTAAAAATTAGTATTCATAAACTATTTTTAGAAAGAGTTTTAAAAAGTGTGTTTTGTTATTTTTTTATTGCAGAACTTATTAAATTATATGATTCTAAAAATAGTTTTACGAAATAAAAAACAGTAAAATTTATTTAGATAATAACTAAAGCAACAGTGAAAATAAGAATATGGTGGGGGGGGGGGGGGGGAAGTGTGGTAGTAGTATTTTTTAAATTTTAGAAAAATTATTTTAAAAAATACACAAAATAGTCGTAATAACTTCTTGTCTTAAATTTACCCACTTTTCTAAATTCGAAAAAAGAAAAAATGCAAACCAAACTGACATTTACCCAAAAAAAGGTTTGTGACTATTAGACCTGATACTTACACGTGCTGGGCACGTGGTCCGAGCATAGACGGAAAGTGAAACGGTAGTTAACTTTTCGACTATACTTTTTACTATGTAGGTGCAATGTAAATTTTTTGATATTTTAGAGTGTGAAATGGGCATTTTAAATCTTTCAGCGTAAAGTGCGATTCGCCCAAAACTAAAATTTAGGCTGTCAAACGTGTCAAATTAAATGGTTACATGTCGGGTTAAATAAGTGAAAAATATATAAATTCGTACAAGTCACATTTAATAAACGGGTAACACGACACGATTCATTTAAATCGTTTAATTTAAAAAAAAATTATATCAACAAATTTTAATACATCACTTTTTTTACTGTTGACTGTATTTACCTCAAAAAAGAAGAATTTCTAGTCAAATCTCACATAAAAATTAGACTTGAAGACTAAAAAAAAAGACAAGAGGCCACTGCCTTTTATAGGTAAAGTAGCCCTCTCCATCTCCTCTCATTTGCCGACGTGGGACAAAAACAAAACGAGTTGGTTTGCCTTTGTCATGAACTACTCCCCATCTCCCCTCCTTTGTTGAACTACTAGGGGTACAACTTGGGCGGGCCAACTCGAATTCAACCTGAGCTCAATTAAAAAAAAACAGGGCTTGTGTTAGAATTTTTAATACTTGGATTGAGTCTGGACAAAAAAACTCCAACCCAAATTGAATTTGGGCAAACCTTGGATTGAAGTCTCGGGTTATAGAGTTCAACCCGAATATTAAAATATGGTTGAACCCGATTATTAAATCTAGTTGAACCTGAACATACATAAATTTATTAATATATTTAACTAGAGTTAGTATTTATCTTTACTCTTTAGAGTCAAAATTTTTACTTCACTTCAAGTCTTCATCCTTGCGTCTTTATCACTCTCAAATTCTTTTCTTATTCGTCACTCCCTATGAAGCACGGATACGGATACGATACAAAACAGGTATGGGGATACGGCAAAACAAAAAAAAAACAGGATACGAGTACGGTTAGGATACGTCCATAAAATATATATATTTTAAAATTTTATTATTATATTTAATGTAATAATTATGACTTATAAAGTGAATCATACATCTACCAAAGATATATAATAATAAGTAACCATTCTATCATTCATAAATCATACATTCTATATCACATACATATTACATAATATCAAGTCCATACTTAAACAACACATACATATTGCATAATATCAAGTCCATGCTTAAACAAAAGAAACCCAAAATTTTCGTCGAGAGAGAGAGAGACGATTGTTCGTTGTCGGCTAAAGGGGGTGGGGGGCTGACGGGCTGTGGAAGAAAGGCTGAAGGGGGGTGGGGGCTGACGGGCTGTAGAAGAAAAGAAAATATGAGTTGGAAAACATCAGGATGTGTTTGGGTTTAGGACCTTTAGGTTAATATATATTTTTTTTGCAAATAAGGGCCTAAAAAGTTTTGCTCTTGTGCCCCTATACTTTTTTAAAATTTGAGTAATACCCCGCCGTATTCTTATGCGTATTCCACTCGTATCCAAAACGTATCCGACCGTATCCGAAAATAAAATTTATTTTTTTAATTTTAGGATACTTCTCAGACGTATCCAATACGTATCCGACATGTATCCGATGCGTATCCATATCCAAAAGTATCCGATACAGATACTTTGACCCTTTTGAAGTATCCGTGCTTCATAGGTCACTCCTTCCTCTCTCAACCTCCTTCTCTCAATCGTCACTCGTCTAAGTCGTATCAGACTTTCAGCCTCTTTCTCTCTCTCTCGTCATTCCTCTTTATCTGCGCCTCGCCCTTCATCTTAGATCACTTGAAAAAATTAGATTTATACTTGAAAAATTCAAATTTACACTTTAAAAAATTAACCCGAATAAAGTAATCCAAGTCAACCTGATTTTTAACCTGAAATCAGCCCGAATTAAGTAAACCGAATTCAACCTGAGTTCGCTTGAATTAAACTCGGACAATACTTGGGTTGAGGTAGGGTTAAGGTTGAAGATTATATATCTAGGGTTGTACTAGAGTTGACCTCTCAGCCCTCTCGAGTTGTACCCCAATGAACTACTACTTTACTTTTTTACTTCTTTTTTCTGGCTAATTTTTTAAAATAATTATTAATTTATTATTATATTAATTTTATTTAAATGGGTAAATGTGTGATAAACGATTTGACAGGTCACACATGAATACGACCCGTTTATTAAACGTGTCTGGTGAGTCAATCTGTTTTTCACCCAAATTCGTTAAGATCTCACTCAAACTCGTTTAATTCGTATCGATTAATCGTGTTGTGTCGAATTTTGACAAACCTAACTAAAACCCTCTGGGGGTGTTTGGATGGCCGGATAAAGCTAGATACACCATGTTGGATTGGATAAATAAGCTGTGGGCCCCATTTATCCTTGCTTTGGCAATGCATTTTGGAGGTCGGATATTCGTAGGTTTTAAAAACTCGATCGTAGTCATTCATAGGGGTGTTCAACCGACTGTTAGGGTTGGAAGTGACTACTTCTGCCAGCCGACCCAATATTAGGCAGAAGTAGAAAACTTAAATCGAGCCGAACCGAATTACAAAATTAACTGAACCAAAAATCGACCTTAAATGACGGTCGATTTACGGGTCGGCTAACAGGTGGACTTAAAATTCAAGCCCAGACTAAAATTCCTTTGGCCCAGGCTCAATTAATTTGCCCAGCAGATCCATAAACTTAAATTGCATCCAATCATTTTCAAGCCCAAGACCATTTCATATGCTAGACATCATTTGAGGCCCAAACCAATTTGGTATTTTATTTTACTGTACCATGAATTATTTTACAACCTGTAACTCAATCAAATAAGAGCCTAAACTCGTATTTGAGCCCAACCTGTAACTCATCATTGGAGGCCAAATAAAAGCACAAACTCAATCAGATTTTACAACCTGTAACTCAATCAAATAAGAGCCCAACCTGTAACTCATCATTGGAGGCCAAATAAGAGCACAAACTTAATCAGATTTTACAACCTGTAACTCAATCAAATAAGAGCCCAACCTGTAACTCATCATTTGAGGCCCAAACTCAATCAAATCCTGTACCATGAAAATAAAGTGTAAGTTGTAGCAACAATGCAAGTTTGCTTCAATAATAGTTATACAACCACAACAATCAAAAGAGATAAACCATGTACACCGCCAAAAAATCAGTAGTCTAAATACAAAAGTTAGTAGTTAGCATGCTTCACAAATCTGCAATGCACCATTCCAAAAATTTGGTTCACTATTCCAAAAATTAGGACTATCAACAGTCAATCTGAACAGTCATATAACCTGCAAGGGAAGTAGTACAAACACAGATTTATAGACAACACCATGATTCTGAACAAAATACTTAAGATTCAATACATAAAGGACATACTAAATCACATTAAAAACATACCAAAGATGTTTTTTTTGTCAAAAACAATAGCCTAAATCCAATCATCAATAACAGTCGCATGAGTTGCACTCCTATCCAATTTTAAGATAAAACATAAAAAAGATACCATTATATTTAGAGAACTAACATTCTATAATAAAGAATAATAACAAGTTGAAAAAATAAGACAATATATATGTTACCTGAGTCAAGTTCAATGATTTCCATGTAATCCATTGCATCTTGATCATCAAAAGGATTTAGATCTTTTAACCAATTTTGTGCACAAACAATTGCCTCGACTGTTTTTGGTGATAATGAACTTCGAAATGGATCTAGTACGCGTCCTCCTGTACTAAATACAGACTCAGAAGCAACTGTGGATATTGGAATAGCTAACACATCTTTTGCAACATGAGCAAGGATGAGATACTTAGCTGAATTCAGTTTCCACCAGTTAAGAATGTAAAATTCTGGATTTTTTTCCTCACAACCATCACTCAAATACTGGTCAACTTCAGATTTAGTCTCTAATTGAGCACTGCTTGATTCAAACTGAGAATATATATGTCAAAAGGCCTGACTAGTATCTACAACACTCACACTTGAAGAACCAGGGTCACATAAAGGATGATTAGAGGCATTTTGCGACTGTACCTCACTAGAATTTCCAAAAATTGATGCATACTCATCATACAACCGCTGAAACACATTTTTTACTTTGCCCAACATTTCCTCCGCCTCATTATTGTTTGCATCAAAGTTTTGTTTGAACCAAAATGATAATGCACCCAACTTACATCGTGGATCCAATAAAACAACAACAAATATCAATAAATTCATCTTTTCAATGTTTCCCCAATATTTATCATACTTCTTCTTCATCCTCATTGCCATGACACTCAAAAAGGGATCACGATTCTCACATAATTTGGACAAACTAGTTTGAACAATACAAAGCTCTTGAAAAAGTAAATTGCTTGTGACATACAAGGACCTAGAAATTCGCAAAGTAGAATCATAGAAAATCTTTAGAAATTTCACAAGAATCCTCATATTTTCCCAATCAAAAGACCGAGGAGACCCTAATGTCCCTTCACTAAAGTAAGAGACATATTGACCATCATCATCCTCTAATCTTTCAAAGGCCTTTTGATATTTCTATGCAGCCTCAAGCATTAGATAAGTGGAGTTCCATCTAGTTGAAACATCAAGGCACACCAAAGTCTTACAATCAATTCTTTCTTTGTTCGCACATCTTTTAAATTTTTCCATCCTTGCAGGAGATGACCTTACATACCTCACAACATTTCGCACCCTTATGATAGAATCATTATGTTCTTTTAATCCCTCACTCACGACAAGGTTTAAGATATGTGCACAACACCTCATGTGAAGGGACTCACCTCCTAATATATTACCCTTCATGTGTCTTCTTAAGTAATCTATAGCAACTTCATTTGAGGATGCATTATCAATTGTGATTGTACAAATTCGATCAATACCCCATGCAAGTAAACAAGCCTCCAATTGTTTCCCAATTGTGTCCCCTCTATGATTAGGAATTAAGCAAAAGTTTATAATTCTTTTGTTTAGTTTCCAATTGTCATCAATGAAGTGAGTAGTAAGACACATATAGTTAATGTTTTGAATAGAAGTCCATGTATCAGTTGTGAAACTAAACCTATTAGTCGAGGATCCAAGAATTTTTTGTAACTTATCCCTTTCATTTTGATGAAGTTTGATGCAATTTATAGCAATAGTCGTGCGAGACGGAACTTGGAACTTTGGCTCTAGTGTCCTACAAAACCTTTTAAAGCCATGGGCTTCCACAGCTCGAAAAGACAATTCATCCATAATAACCATTTCTTCAAGTGTCAGTCTTGAAGTTTCTTGATTAAACTAATGAATCACGACTTTGCTAAGACCTAAATCTCCTTTTGGTTTTTTCTCAAAACTTAACAATTGTTGACTTTTATTCACATTTCTACCAGGAAATTTTGAAAATTTTGTGCAACTGTGGTTCACATGAAATGTAAGGGATGACGTACCATGCTTCTTAGAATCACATTGATAAATCTTGTGATAGTATTTGCACTCCGCCTTGCGAAGTTGACCTTTTTTTCCTCTCTAGCAGTTTGAAATGATTCCACACTTTTGACTTCCCTGGTTTTTTATTTTCAGATTTTTCATTCTCATTAGTCTCCATAGGGTCATCAATCACTTGTGTAGCATCAGCTAAAGTTGTATTCCCCTCCATCTACATAAAAAAATAAATTGAACAAATTAATCGTGCAAGAAGCTTAGATATAAAAAAAATCCAGATTCAATGAATACAAAAAGGAACGAATTAGATAAATACAAAAAAAGAACATACATAAATAATTTATGGTCTGATATCCAAAAAAATAGATAGATCTGAATGTCTAATTATTTATGATCAGAAAAATGAGTTTTAACTCTATTGTTGCAGAGAGATAGAGCAAAGCAGTGAGTTTCAATACAAAAAAAAATGTATTCAAACAATGTGTATAAGAAATTAGATAGCGAGAAAAAAAAAGAAAAAAAAAATGATGGTAGTGACTGAGTTTCACGACCAAATAGTGATTTTCAAGACCAAAAAATGAAAAAAAAAATAAAAAAATTTGATGGCAGTGACTGAATTTCAACTTTAAAGTAGAAAAGGAAAAAACTCATTAAGTGAGTTTCAAGACAAAAAAAAATGTTTTCAGAAAATGTGTGAAAGAAATTAAAGAGCAAGGAAAAAAAAAGAAAAAAGAAATTGATGAAAAAAAACTCACTGCTTTCGAGCACTGAGTTTCAAGAGTCACCGAAACTAGAAATGCAAGGCCAAAATGCTCAACAACCAAGCTACAAGCCTATAACTAGTATTAGATAAAACCAAAAAGTGAAACATTTTTTTAAAAACCAACCAAAATTTTCAAAGCAAAAAACCTTTCAAGACCAAAAAAACTCACCAAAAACCTTTCGAGCACTGAGTTTCAACAAATGAAAACCTTTCAAGACCCAAAAAACTCACCGAGTTTCAACAAATGAAAAACTCACTACTTTCGAGCACTGAGTTTCAAGACCAAAAAAAAAAAAAAATATTCAGGTAGATGGATAATCAAAGATAATAAAAAAGAAATTTACCAGTCAAAGAAAAAAGGGTTTAGATCTGCTCGATAGGGTTGATATCTATTTCTATTTGACCTTGAGTCTTCAGATCTGCTCGATAGGGTGAGATATATGACCTTGAGTCTTCAGATCTTAGATCTGCTTGTTAGAGAAGAGAGAAGAGAGAAGAGAGAAGCGGCAAAAGAGAAGAGAGACTGAGAAGTAAAAGTAAGGTTAGTTTGCTTTTATATTTTTTAAAGGAAAATTCTAGACTATATATATATATATATATTATTAAATACTATTAGAGTCAGTTATTTTAGTATTGGAATTGATGGTATCCGAATTCGAACCGATTTTATCGATTAATCTTTATTTTCTACCGAAATCGACCTGGAATAAATATTATCCGCCTGTTCAAAAGAGTCGGTTCCGGATCGGGTTTTTGGGTTACCGGATATTTTGCACAGCCCTAGTCATTCAGCTTCTTTATCCTCTCTTTTCTGGACAAAGAAATCCTACTAAAACTTGGGGATTAACTTTTAGCCGGCGGGATACAAATCTAATTTTAACATTTCACCCTGCTTAACACAAAAGTTAGGGTTTGTTAACCTCCTCTCCCCTTTTTGCACCGGTCCCCATCGAAGAACGGCGCGAACTCCTCCCATTGGCAAGTTATGTTTTTTCTATCTCTTTCTCTCTCTCTCTCTCTCTAAGACAGTATATATATATACTGCACGAGATAATTCCTACAATAGTATGAGACAATGATCTCCAAGCAGACGAACCTGAAACAACAGGGTCAGAAAAAAGGGGGCCAGGCGAGCGCCCGACTAATCCCCTCCTAAGCTTAAGTCAGTATAAGGTCGAAGGATTTTGCTCAATGGACTATTTTTCTGGTTCAAGTTTGCGTACCTTTGTCTATTTTTCTGAGGAGTATTTATACCTGAATTAGCAATGATTGCCAAAGATCTCCAGTCCCATATGAACATCTTACATCTGACACATCATTCCTCGTGCAATGAGTGTTTTCTACTCACGTCTCCTCCTATTAAATGGTAGGAAAATGGGTAAATGCTTGGCCAAATGTCGAGCATTTATGCCACTCCTCGAGTACCCAAATCCTCCAGATCTGCATCCGACATCAATTGAGCATTGAATACTCGGGGGAAACAGTTCCACGGGAGAGCCGATCGTGTCGTCTCGACGCATAAGCCATTAATGCTTAGCCATCATGACAGTAGGATTAGACTCCTAGAGGGCAGGTGTTGGCAGACGCGCATTTATTTGTCTTGTCACTATCACTCATTCTGTCATAAATGAGGGGTCACATCGCATTAAATACGATGTTAGCTATCGTACTCGACTGCTCCGTGTCACCATATCTCAGCTTACCTTCTCGGCACCCTTTGGATATCCCAACTGCTTCATTATTCCACGTGTCAACCTGGGGGCTTTAAAACCACCTAGAGTCTCGCCAACTGTCCCCTAGCCGCCATCCTTTTCGCAGTGTAAGACAAGTGGCGTAAAGAGATTGGGGGCTCTATCAACACGCCTTATTAATAGCGACGGTTACTTACACGTCTGGTGCCGCCTTTTTCAAATGCCCTAATGATGACCCAATATTTCGATTCCTGCTCCCTGTGAGGTAGTATAAATAGGAGGTTTTCATACCTTTTCAGAACTTTGCATCCTCAACCTCTCTTCAGCAATCAGACCCCGAGTGCTCCTCTGTTCTCCTCCGAGTTTCCTTCGTCCTCCGAGCTCTCTCTTTGAAGACCATCTTCCTGTAAGTACTTCCACTTGAGCTTTTTCTCCCTTCATTTCCTTTACATTTCGTCCTTTTAACACCCACCAATGGCTAGAACTAGTAGAATTAGGGGGGAGACGTCTGTTAGGGTTAGGACTACCCACAAGATGAGGAGAACCTAAGTGACTGATGAGAATATCCAGTCTTTTAAGGTTAGGTACCACATCCGTGAGCCTGTCTTTGCTTTCCCCTTCGACCCCACTCACCATAGGAGGGATATGAGAAATGTGGACATGATACCTTTCTGGACTAAGGCCATCATGGAGGGAGGGTTGACCTTCCCCCTCCATCCCCTGTTGCTGGGAGTGTTGATGCAACTGAAGCTCTTTCTCTTTCAATGTGAGGTTAACTTCTTTAGGATTATGATGGGCGTAGTTGCCTTAAACGCTCAGCTGGGGACCAATTTAGTAGTAGATGAAATTTTATTCTGCTACGACCTGAGGCTAGTCGCCGGGAGATGGCTCAATGTATCTGGTAACCCACATGCCCGACTCGGACAAGGGGTATGTAGATGATCTGATCATGCTCGGCGAAAGTTGAGAGAAAGAGACCGGACTAGAGTATGACGGATTGTACTGCCCCAAAGTGCCGAGAGATGAATGTGTGTTTTCTTTCCGACTTCTTGATTTTGCTATTCTTGGGTCTGATGGATGCACTAATTTTGCTTTGCTTTTGTAGAAGAATATCGCCGGGATGCTGCTCAACCGTTGAGGTCCCAAGTTCGATTTGCTGACCTGCTAAAGGTTTGGTCCTTGGACCCAGTTAAGCGAGCGGCGCATACTCTCCTCGGCTACACGCCGACTTACAATTGATTCTCCCAGATCCCACCTCCTTTCAACCCTTTTGTTTGGGAAGACCATTCCTCGTCGAAAGAGGAAGAATCCGAGGGAGATTCTGAAGAAAAGTCTAATTATCACGCTCTCGAGCCCCTTGCGTCTGAAATGTTTAATCCGCCACCAGTCACCGCTGCTATGATGGAGGCCGCCTTCGCGGCAAGGAGAGCCAGGCTCGCCGGGTTGGCTGGGCCTTCCAACATTGCCCCCATCATCTCCCCGCCTAGTTCTCCTCGGAGGCAACCGCTGCTGTCACCGTCGCGTACGCAACAATCCAGGGACGCGGCTGTGCCGACCAGACAAAGACCCCAATCTTAACAAGTCNTCATCTCCCCGCCTAGTTCTCCTCGGAGGCAACCGCTGCTGTCACCGTCGCGTACGCAACAATCCAGGGACGCGGCTGTGCCGACCAGACAAAGACCCCAATCTTAACAAGTCCCTGCTTCAGGAGACCGGCTAAGGGACAGGCGTGTCCGGGACATCGAACAATCTGAGGAGCGCCATGTGAAGCGACAACATGATGCCCCGACCCCGGGCCCGTCTGTCTTGGGCGAGTGGGTTGCTCGGGCCGAGACAAGGAGTAGTCGCCTTGTTCTGGAAGCCGACTCTATCCTCCAATCCCCCGAAGTGGTGTTTATCGTCGTGGGGACACTTCAATTTGACGTCGATATGGCCGTGTACAAAGATTACTCGGACAATCGACTTCTGATGAGCATTATCCAAAATAACCTGATGGTAAGTTTAACACTTTCTTGAGNTGTTCACCATGCACAGCCTTCGAAGGGAGGCCGATGACGAAGTCTTGGACGAACAGGTCCGATCCGACCTAGGTGACCACGTGGAGGTAGAAGGGCCGGTCGGAGCTGAACGTGGAAACGAACTCATCACACTCAACGACGATTCTGACCAACCTTCTTCTACTCTTCCGTCTTTGCCACCTGCTGAGCCAACAAATGATATGTTCCCTCCTCCGCCCCCCATCATTACTGTGGTGCATGGTACCGAGCTAGATGAGATATTGTGGGTCAGAGACGAGCTACAAAGGTGGCACGGAGGCCTCGACGGGGGAGGAACAGGGGAGGAATGAGCTGAGGGCTTTAGTAGCTAGTGGCCTTAGTCATTTCTAGGTTCTGTATTTGTTTCGTAGCCCATTGTAGCTCTTCTTTGTACAGAATTTAGTTATTGTTTGTATGCTTGGGGACGCAAAGCCCTTTTTTGATTTGCAATGATTTCCTGCATCAATCGTGTTCCAAGGAAATGGCCTTGACGTTACGTCAATAAGGACCTTCTAAAGTAGCAAGGCTTCACGTCGAATTCATAAAAGTAAACGCGTCGAACTTGCTGTTGGGTCTTTGGACCCTTTGAGACCGAGTATATCTGGAGGTGGACTCTTACACCCTTCGGGGCCATACCCTTAACGACAGAGCACGTGTTAATAATTTGAAGGCGTTACTCCAAGGGTGGAGTCCTAACCCCTCGGGGTNGTGTTAATAATTTGAAGGCGTTACTCCAAGGGTGGAGTCCTAACCCCTCGGGGTCGTACCCCTAACGATCGAGGGTCTGGTTCGTGTTAATAATTTGAAGGCGTTGCTCCAAGGGTAGAGTCTTACACCCCTCGG